CCCACCCACACCCACCCACCCAGCCACCCACCCACCCACCCACCCACCCACCCACCCACCCACCCACCCACCCACCCCACCCACCCACCTTTCAAGCAACATAAGCAAGCACTTGAGCACAAGCTTGGTGTCGGGAGGACTTACATTGAATATATTCCCAACACTCACCGGGACACTGCTGCTCCACCTGCTTGATCGTGAAGAGCTGGGTTGACCCATCGAGGTCACGGTAGCGGTTCACACGCTTGAGAAGAGGTGCCAGCACGACCTCATTTTCTGCTGCCTCCTTCACATGACAAGCCGGATCAAAGTTCGATCCGCCAGCAGTGGAAGCAAACAGCCTTCGGTTCGAGCGCATTCTCTCACGCACTGTTTCTAGGCACTCCCACTCTTTGGCCAAACCATCTAGTGTCAACGGATGACCAAACTCCATAGCGGGAGTCGGATCAAAATCCTCGAATCTGATCCTCACAAAAAGTTTTGCAGCCAAATGCTATGTAGCACACACTTCATTCACAGTACTTGTGATGATGCGCACTCGGACATGTTTCTAAGCAGCAAAAGATAACTGTTGCATAGGCGAAGCCCTACCTTGGAATGCCTCAAGAACACGTCCCTGATGAGGCCGCGGCTGGTCGGCGCTCGACGTCGCTGGCGAGCTCCATTCTATCACTTCATCATCATCCTATCGTTTCCCCCCCATATATAAGGTATGCTGTAAATCATATTCGTCCTTGCATCAAACATCAGATGTTGCAACTCCTAACTATAACACACCTATCAAGTCATTCCCAATCCCTTTCAACACCCCTTAACATGGCCCAGAGCCAGCTATTGCAGAGAAACAGAGGTCAAATCTCAAACTAGGGTCGAACCCCCAATAACTAAGTTTTCAATCCATAAACCAGGTTATGTTTTTACGCCCCTTAAAAAGGAAGGACACCCAGGGTCTAGGTAAACCCTAAAGCCACCCACTTTGCAGACCCAAGCCGAAACAAATCCGCAAAACCTGGCGGTCCAAGGCACAGCGCCGTACCGCAGCCTTGGGATGCACCCCCCAAGTACACGTTCCTGGCCCCAACCTGATAGGTGCAGTGTGCCACGGTTTGGGGTAAAGGGTTTAGGGGCTTGAGGTGGACACTCTTTCCGATGTCTAAATCCACCTAAGCCTAAACCCTAAACCATAAACCCTAAAGCTAGATCCTGCAATGCAGTATGTAGTCTTTTCGTTACAGTGTCGTCTTATTTCTGTAGGATCCAAGCCCAAACCTAGAGGCAGTGCAACTTATAGGGTTTAGGGTTTAGGGGTTTAGGGGTTTAGGAGGCTGTACGACTTGCATGTTGCTTGGCTTCTCAGGGGATGTCTTGCGAAGTGATTCAGAGAGGGGGTGTGGCTTAGGGAGGAGACGCGCTTCTGGCTTAGATGTCGCAGTCGGGGAATGTTGATTCAGCACTGAGTTTTTAAATTGAAACTCCATAGCAATAATCCCCTCGTTGAATCGTTGAGGATACGTCCTGGAGGAAAGTTACTCCCAACACCCAACCTGTTCTTTTCCGTCTACGTCCGTCAATCCCAAACTCCTTCAAAGCGAGGTCTAGTGCTGTTCCTCTACCCATAGGCCCCATAGTAGTTCCTTTTTGGGATTACCTTATAGGATTCTATATATGTACCCCATATGGCTATGCCTATAACGACGTGAAAGTACCCATAACATACCCTGGTAAAAAATGAGTCCACTAGAACCCCGAACGGCTCAACCCTAAGAGGTTCAACAAAGGGTCCTGGTACTGTTATAGGGGATACCTTCCCAAATCATAATAACTATTCCTAATATAGATGGACCCTCTGGGTTCAACAAGGGGCCAAGGCGGCTTCCGCATCCAGCATCTTGTGAACTCGCTCGGTCGTTTGTTGCAGATCTTCGGCAGAGAGTTCGTCTTCCCGCTCTCCCTGGGGCTCTTTGGGCTCTGTGGAGGTCGTAGGGTTTAGGGTTTAGGGTTTAGGGTTTAGGGTTTAGGTTCTACAAGCGTTCTGGTTTCTATGAGGGCTCTACAGGGGCTCATAGGGTTTAAGGTTGCAAGGGCGTGGGGTGCAGTGGTAGGGGTTTAGGGTGGGTGAGGGTTAAAGGGGTGTAAGAGCTTATGGGGTTAAACTGCTTAATTACGGTTCATGACGTTTGGCAGGGTTGTTCGGGGCCAGTAGCGCGAGTGTGGTCCGGTCTGGTGCTAAGGGTTCTATGGGTCAGTAGGGTTCTTACTTAGTGTCCTAGGGGTTGTTAGTTCTGTGGCTGGATGCTGCGAGGTTGAAGGCTGTTTTAATTTATGGGAGTTCCGAGAGCTTTCCGGTTTGACAGGGCTGCTAGTGTATAATGTAGGAGCCTTAAAAATTAGAAATGGGTTTTGGGGGTTCCGTATTATAGTTATAGTATAATATACCCCAAAATCCTGCCCTTGTTCATGCTTGAAAATTTAGGGTTTTAGGTTGCAGGCAGGGTCCCAGGTCCAGGCATTTGGGATTCGGGGTTTGTTGTTGCAAGAAACTTCCCCAAATTCCCTCCAACAGTTTCGTCTGCAGGGCTTAAAGGGGTCCGCCGAGCGATTTTATTGGGGGAAATTAGGGTTCAGGGGTGGGTGGAAGTTCAAGGGTTCGGGGTTTGATGTCAGCATTTATGGGCCGGGTTGGGCTTGGGGGTTTGAGATTTGGGGGCTCTGCATCGGCGGGATTTCATGGAAGGTCGTATCAACTCCAGCATGTTCAAGACTTCAAGACTGCATTTAGCTAATCGTGAACAACTGTGGTGATGACCACCGCAAACTCGGGCTTATATGGGTTTGGAGAACTCACTGTAAGCTCTAACCCTAAACCCTAAACCCTAAACCCTAAACCCTACACCTGAAGATACCTAGTTTAGGGCGTGGGCTCTTGCCTAGACCCTGAAGCCCCTAAATCCTAAACAGTAAACCCCTAACCCCTAAACTCCGAACCCTAAACCCTATACTTCTACACCCTGAACCGTAACGAGAGACCTACAAGAGGGGCCTTAATAATTAGAACAGCTTTTTTGGGGATACTAATAATAATAGTAATCATAATCATAATAATAGTAATCATAATCATAATAATAATAGTAAAAGGGAACCACCAAAAATAGTATAGGTAATCATTGAGGCCCCTACATCCCTCCAATGGGTTATTAAGAAGCGGCCTCATGGTCGGTGATGTAGTCGTGCCAGGCATGCTGCATCTCGCCCTGAAAGCAAGGTTCTAAGGTGTAGGGTTTAGGGTCCGTAATATAGAATCCTAGGTTTCGGGTTTTGGGTTTAGGGCCTTGGGAGTTTAGTGGGTTTAGGTTTAAGGTCTGGCTCGGGGTAATTTCGCATCCTGAATAGCTACCAAGATTATTAGAGCATGCAAAGCAACCCAGAGCGACAAGTACCGAACAGTATGCGACCGTGCGGTGTGCAAAAACCCAGGCCCCATGGCAATCCCTTCTGTACTATTAATGAGGTTCACTCTTATTGTTAAGGACATCCTAAACCCTAAACCCTAAATCCTAAACCCTAAAGCGACAGGTTGCATACTTCCGCGAAGAAACCACTGAACCCTAAAGGGTTTAGGGTTTAGGGGTTTAGAGTTTAGGAGTTTAGTGTGTAGAGGTGTACGCCGGTTTAGGGTGCGATTGAGCACTGCTGTCACATGCAGGAACTGGTTGAATGCTGCATCTATCTGTTCATGATAGGAGCTGCCCAGAGGATTCTATGAGTTCTGGGGACTGGTAAATTAGTATTAGAAATTAATCCGGCACCTATGTAATGTTGCTTGTTAAACCCTATAAACCCTAAACCCTCTAAATCCTATAGTCTATACTCTATACCCTGTAAAACGTCCAATGAACACGAAAGGCGGTCCTTGTAGCAGGTGATTGGCCGTCGAGGTGCCGTTGGCAGAACTACCTCGCTCGAAGATCACATGAGTCTGGGGTTTGATGATTCTGGCACCGTCCAGTCTTGCGCTCAAAGCATGTGTGCCTTGGTCTTGGCACCCCCCAAGGTTGTGGCTTTGGATCTTCAGGCCGCGACAGTTTCGGAGTGAATTTTTACACAGGTAGCGATTTTGGTCTACTTGGTCTACGGGTTCCAACACCAATTGAGGAACAGGCGTTGAGGCCTTAGTCACTCTGACGAGTGCTTGCAGCACAAAGATTATGATACCCGCGTCGCCAGTGCTAGTTCTATCCATTATCATTACAATCACGTAGATTTCACGGTAAAACAGGCCGGTGGTTCACAAACACAGAGATGCCTAGCGATCTTTCCGGAGCTTCACCCGCTCTTAAGACCTCAATGTTGCGCCGAAAACGCCAAAAAAGTACCTTATACAAGCCCAGCCATTTAGCCCCGACGCAACTTGAAAAGCAAAAGACACAAACTTGTACTGCCTTCAGACCGGGGAAAGGCTCCAGCTCCTCAAAGTCCTGGGCGCTGTTTCGGATTTGGGTTTATCTTCATGTTTAGGATTTAAGATCTGGGGATAGGGGGGTGTTGAGGCTTACGGATTCCTGACAGAGGAGACTGTCGGGTTTAGGGCCAAAGGGTTTAGGGTTTAGGGTTTAGGGTTTAGGGTTTAGGGCCGGCGTAGAGTTGGAGGAATCAAGTCCGGCTGCATCGAAGCTCAGGAAGAAGCAGTACACATGTTAAATCCTCTGCGCAAGGACCCCCCTACCCCCGGATTCCCCAACACGCTCCGGGAAGCGAGGGCTGCAAAAAGAATTGAAAGGTTAAAAACCTAGTCTTGTTGAACTGATGTAGGGGCCTTTATAATTTGATAATTATAATAAGGAACCCCCCCCCCCCCCCCCAAA